TGCAGTACCGCTCCCGTTGCTCCGATTCTCCGGCCCATCTCACGCTCCATTGTTCCCTCACTCGAGAACAAGACCCCGAGATACTTGAACTCCTTCACTTGGGGTAAGGACTCATTCCCTACTTGGAGTGGACAGTCCATCGGTTTCCTGCTGAGAACCATGGCCTCAGATTTGGAGGTGCTGATCCTCATCCCAGCCGCGTCACACTCGGTTGCGAACCGATCCAGTGAGTGCTGAAGGTCGCAAAAAATCGGTTAAAAAACTTCAACTAATCCAGAACGCCGCTGCCAGAGTCCTGACCTAAACAAAAAGAGTAGAACACATCACCCCAGTACTCAGATCTCTTCACTGGCTACCAGTAGCTTACAGAATCGATTTTAAAATTGTATTGCTAATTTATAAAGCATTAAATGGTTTGGGACCCCAATATATGTCCGACATGCTGCCCTGTTACGAGCCACACAGAGCTCTGAGATCATCGGGGGCTCATTGTACTCATTGTCCCCCGGCTCAGAACCAAACACGCCGTAGCTGTTTTTAGTTTTTCTGCTCCCCACAAATGGAACAAACTTCCAGAAAACCTGAGATCTTCACCAACGCTGAGTTATTTTAAGTCGAGGCTAAAAACACTACTTTTTATAGCTGCATGAGCCTTTTAACTTGTTTTAGCTCCTACCGTTTACAATGTCGTTTTTAAACTATTTTGTATCTCGTTTATGCATGGTTTTTATGAATCTGTTATTCCATTATGTTTATTTATTGTGTTTCTTTCTGTTGTCTTACTATTAACTGATAATGATCGTGTAAAGCACTTTGAATTGCCTCTGCGTCTGAAATGTTCTATATAAATAAACGTACCTTATCTTACCTTCTCTCTCTACAGTATGTACCTGTGTACTCTCCTGTTTTTGTGTCTGTCTACGCCGGGATGCTGAGTCTTGCTGTGCCTGTTGCTGTGGTCCTGAGTCGTGGATCCTGAGTCCTGGCTGAGCCTATCGCTCAGCCAGGACAGGATTGTTGACATCCACCTGATGCATTGTTTCTTATATATAGACACATGCATTTGGACTACTTTTGTTGTAAATGTATTCTCTTTTTAATTCACACACAACATCTATTGCACGTCTCTCTGTCTCTGTGGGGTTTCTTTGGAAGTTTTTCCTTGTCCGATGTGAGGGTCCAAGGACAGAGGGTGTTGTATTCATATTCTGTACAAACTGTAAAGTCCACTGAGACAAATGTAAAATAAGTGATATTGGGCTATATAAATTAACTTTGATTGATTGGTATAGTTCTTGGTTTGGTAAATGCTGGCTCTCTTGAAATGGCATGGAACAAGACTAACTGGCAAAAAGGAAACGAGGACAAAGGGAGACGAGGACTATATATAGAAGAGTTAATGAGACACAGGTGGCAACAATTAAGGGTGGGGCTGACAATCACACTGGAGGAAAACACACAATGGCAAGAAGTCAAGGATTCTGAAACAGGATGGATAAGTAAGCGCAAAATGAAGTGCAATTAAAGACATTGCATGACGAGACGTAAGTGACTCTAACTTGACACGTGAACAAGAAATAATTAAACATAAATTAAATCTTAATGTGTACTAAAATAAACATTACACATATACCATTAACCTGCTAACTAAAAAACTAAACATGACATGAGTAAACAAGAACTAAACATGGCAACATGTTACATGTGTGACTTAACTAATTTGCCATCAACACGAAATCACAAGTATTTGAATTATTGCTTTTTCTAGTGTAATTGAATGAATGGGAAATGAATGCACTCATGTCAATTCCCTGTATTACCTTGGTCAGTACATAGAGTACATACACAGCTTTGACATGAATGAAGGTCCCACATAGTCGGATCCTCAGAATTAAATGCAATCAGCAGATCATAAATTCAATGAATCCAGCTGTGATAAACATGTGCAGTATTAATTAGGAAGTGCTATTAGAACCAACATCAGGTTGAAGCTGTTATTAAGTAATGAATAAGAGTTTAGTAAGAGTATTCACCACAGCGTTTCCCGAAGGGTTTAGCTCATTAAATACGATTTGACCTTATCAATAGCTATATGAGAGAATACCACTCGCTTTGGCACCATTTATTTACCACATATCCCAGGGGCCACTGATTAATAAAGGTCAAGTTACAGGGCTTCCATCACATTGTTATCCTTCATTTTGCTGAATATCACCAGATAACCTTAATCATGCTTAAGCACTGACTAAGTGAATCATAAGTTACAGTAAAAGTGTTTAAGATCAAGGACAAAACATGGCTATGTGGGGGAAGAAGGTGTACGTATAATGTACTGCATGTTGCTCCTTCTAATGATTATGAAGGTTGGCAGTTATGTCAGTTTTGTAGTGCATAGTTACAGAACAAAGGTTTAACTTGGCACATTGTGTGTATTTCTTCAATTCAGGAAGTACACTTTGTTTTTTAAGTATCTTTATCCAATTTTCAGACTATTATGGAAAGATAATGTTTCCCTCCTAAATATGGTATATTGTTTTACAAAATTGGCATCTTATTGTCTTATTACACAATCCACTCTCCAAAATCATGTTCCCATAATATAAAGTGCATTCTGATACAGTTTCGATGAAAACCTAATTGAGGTACGTATTTTATGCGGGAGATCCGTTGCAGTTTTTAACACATCGTTAAAACACATGGTTTTGAATGTAATCTAAAAATAAATTGTTATGTTAAGTTATGGATCAATGAGTATCTTTCGTACGTACAGATTGCCTGCCATGTGTAAATCGATATTAATAAATGTGGAATTGTTCTCCTGTAATACATTTCCATGTTTGCAGAATTCCGCTAACTTTGAGTAAAATGACAAAAATCCAGTATAATTTATATATATATAAATATGACAAATGCCAGGCACATGCAGAAGATGTTAGAGGGGAAGGGGCTCAAATGCTTAACAGGCCATTATGACAATTTGTTGGGACAGTGTTGAAGGATTATTGAAATGTATGTATTTCAAACTAACCCATGAATAAAGTTGGTTCAAACCCTTCATGACAGTTATTTATTCCTCTAAGCCAGTGGTTCTCAAACTTTTTCTGGCAGGCCCCCCCTTTGGAGAAAAAAAAAAGTCGGGCCCCCCCAACACAAATAGTCAGGCTCAGAGATTTCTTTTGGGGGTGCTGTGGGGTAGCTTGACGTTTCATAGAGGGTGCTCAAACATTTAAGGTTTCCCATTAATGTACCGGTCGCTACAGTGGAATTTTCTACTGCAACAATCCCCACGCATATACACAACGTACCCGCGACTGTTACAATGAAGGCTCGATAATCAGCTCACGGCATATAGGTGTAAGCAGGGGTAAAGTGCTATTTTTACAGGTGGTGTGTGGACCTCACATAGGGGGGTCCGGGGGCAAGCTCCCCCGGGAAGATTTATTTTTAAATATTGAAGTTAAATGCATCAATCTGGTGCACTTTGAGAGCAAAATGAAGAGATCTATGGAAACCTCTCTCAACACCCATATGAAACAGAACTGTTAACAGATTTACTTTTTCTTTATGGATATTTTACAAATCACCCTTTTAAACTTTATTCTTTTTTTATTGTCATATAGTAGGCCTATTTCATACCTGTTTTTCATTTATTCTCTTATTTTTGTATAACTATAATGATCTTATAAACTAGGGATGCTCCGACCGATCGGTCACCGATCGAGATCGGCCGATACTCACTCTCTACCGATCGATTGGTGCTCTCTAAACATGCCGATCGCGAGAGCCGATCGCATGACGTAAAATACATGACACTTTTCTCTGTGTGCAGCAAAACAAGCTCGCCAAAATGGCTTCACCGGTCTGGCATTATTTTAAGGTGTCAGAAAAAGACAGTAAAATAGCGGTATGCAACGTGTGTGAAGAAGAAATCCTGCAGCTCCGCCCGCCGGACCGGTAAGCGGAGCGAAACACACAAGAGTTAGACCTAACATACTTAGCTATTTGATCTACCTCTGGAACAAGCTAAACTAGTCATTATAAATATATGTATTCTTCACTGTCGGGTCACTCATTACTGGATCAGTGAGCTGCATGAGATACTGACAGGCTGTCAGGAGAGGGAGAGAGGGGGAGAGAGAGAGGGAGAGAGGAAAAGAGAGCGCTTCCGCTAATTTCTCCCGTGTTATTATCCAAAGTGAATGTAAACTTGAATAATGTATATCATTTGAATGTAATAATTAAGTTGATTGTTGTTTGTGGAAGCTCCAGTGAATGAGCCCCATTAACTGAGTTTTAAACATCACTTTAAATGGAAGATATAAAGTGATGTTTAAATCTTCCATTTAGGCCCCGCCCACTCGATCGGATCGGTGATCGGTATCGGTCGATACTGATTCCGGCGATCGGCCCCGAAATTGGCGACCTGCATATTATTTTCGAATCAATACGTTTTCAAATTATGTTTTTTTTTTTTTATTATGTTTTTTTTTGTATGTCTATAACCATTTTTCCTCCTGGTCTCTCGCCCCCCCCCCCCCCCCCTGGCATGCCTCTGCGCCCCCCACTTTGAGAACCACTGCTCTAAGCACATTCTCCATAATGGCATTAGGCATACTTGCTTCAGTAATAATAGGCATTAAAAAAATGCTGATATTTTATGCATTAGACACAGGTTATTTTGTTTTATTCATTGATTTAAGATAATTTTTACATAAAAGGCAAGCTAACACATTGTAACTTGACAACATATCATGTTTTTTGTTCTAAAAATATTTAAATCAGATTCACTATAAGAGGTCGCGTTAACCAAATATTTTCCGTCATTTTTTAACAATGATGGAAAAATCTGAAAGCAGTCCGTCATTTTTGACAGATTAGAACAAACTCGGAACAGCGCAAAAGTTTCCCCGCAGCGAGGCTCCAGTGTTATGCCGTGTTATGCATGCCCGCCAAAAAGGAAATGATACCGTTTCCAAACCTAACTTTGCTGTACAAATCATTGAAATGTCTGTGAGTTTTGGCTTTACGCTGTGAGCGCTCCCGCAAAGTGCAGTGGGCATGCATAACACGGCGCTAACAGTTCACGAGCGTAACAAAAAAATACATTGGAACTTACATTTGACAAAAATGTCCTTTCTTTAAATAGGGCAAAAGGGCAGGTGCTCAAGCCCTCTTTGGGGTCTATCTGTGCACGTGCCTGTTAGTGACTCTGCCTGGTCTCCCCCCTTTCCCCTTTTCTCATTTCCTCTCCTCTCTGCTCTTGCTGTCCCAAATATATTTTTTGATTTCCTCTCCTCTTTAGCCTCCTTCGTTTGTCTCCTCCCCTCCTTTCCTCACCTCCTGTCCCCCTCCTAAATATGTGACAGACTGACCGGTGGTATGTGACCCCTCCCACCTCTCTCTCCTCCCCCTTCTCCCTGAAAGTTTCCTGATCAGGGACTCCCTGAAGGTGCGGCACATGAGGAAGTAGATGACGGGGTCGAGGCAGACGTTGATGGCGGAGAGGAAGAGCGTGGCCTCCTTTAGCTGTACCATCAGGAAGCCCTTGCAATTCTCACACAGCGTGTACAGTAAGAGCACCACATGGTGCGGCACGAAGCACACGAAAAACACTATCAGGATGCTGAAGATGCTGCGCTTCGATTTCCGGCAGATGTCACTCTCGTCGCGGCGCATGCGGCGGTAGGAACGGTACAGATGGCAGGCGATGGAGGTGTAGCAGAAGAAGAGCAGAGACAGCGTCAGCCAGAAGAGGGCGTTGTTGAAAAAGACGGAGAAATCGTGCCACTGCTGGCCCAGCAACGTCTTCAGCTCCACGCAGAGTCGCAAGTGTGTCTCCTTAGCCGGCTTGCTGGTGAGCACCACGTTGGGCAGCAAGCAGAGGAACAGGAAGCTCCACGTGAAGAGCGCCAGCCCCTGCGCAAAGCCCACTCTCTGCAGGAGGAGCAGCATTGAGACCCTGCACCACCTCGACCTGCAGGAAGAAAAAACAAGTATCCTTTAAGAGTTTACATAGAATTCACCCTACTAAAGAAGAAAAGTTTAAGCTAAGGTTTAAGCTAAATATAGATTCAGCGGTAAAAATAATGTAAAGGTACAGTAAAATGGATTGGAGTGTAATAACACACTTTGGCCACCAGGTGCATTGTCTAAACATGCCTGTCGGCATGACTTAAAGGTCCCATGTCATGCTTTTCCGGTTATTACCCGTCCCCTTGTGTGTTATGTAGCTTCTGCAGATGGGGCTGCTGCAGCCCCCTCAGCAATCCCCCCCCCCCCTTCCCGCGTCCATTCGCGATGTCTCGCAGCAAGCAGGAAACCACACCAGTAAGCCAGCCAGGGTTGCGTTCCAATAGTCCATTTAGCTTAGGAACCTTCCTAACCAAGTGAAATGACCCGGAAGTACGTCAGTGGCAGCCATGATAAGTGCCGTTCCAATTCTCTAAAGCCTCATCCCAATACCCCTCCTCGACTCCTCTCTTCCCCTCCTCCGGGACTTGACCCGGAAATCGATCAAGACACGCCATGTTGAAGGACGTCCCAATAGCTGAAATGCACATGGAGGAGTCGAGGAGGGGTGAGGGAGGAGGGATGCGGGAGGAGACGAAAGGGAGGATACACGCGAGCAGACTACACGAAAGTGTTTTCACTACTTGCGTATAAAAGCCCCGCCCCCACCTTCACAGCTGGTCGATTTCAACAGAGGAAAACCGACAACTGGAAGATGAGGAAAAGCGTCACATAAATGTATAAGTGCTCACAGCTCCGTGGGAATTATTATGTGCAATTCATTTCTAAAAGGCTTTCACATTACTATAATTATATTTGTATTTAAATGTAGGCTACATTTTACACCAATACGGAACACAAAAGCAGGACCAACCATCATACATTGAATTCCTTGACTAACAAGAGAAAGATTCATTCATTTAAATAAATATTTAACAACAAATGGGCCGGTTCTAAGGGGTTATTCAGTTAAGCCCGATGAGAGGGGATACAGCTGTGCACAGGTCATCATTAACAGACGTCGTTTAAAAGTGACGTTTGAGTGAACGAGGACATCCCAATTAATACCTGAGGACTCCTCTGTCCTCGCGTCACCTCCTCGTGTCTCTCGCTCGCATCTTACGGAGGCGGAGCTAAGACGCAAGGAAGGGAAGCGAGTGAGGGAAAGGAGGAGTCGAGGAGGGGTATTGGGATGAGGCTTGTATGAAAGGAAAGGAGGTTTCAAACTTCCTTTATAACCTCCTTTAGCTTAAGAATCACTGGACCTCCCTTGACGAAAGGAGAGGAGAAAATGCTGCTTCACAATGCATTGCAGCCGCAGCATTTGCCGTCACTCAACAGTCGGCCGTTCACGGAAACAACCGATTATTACCCCCTAATCCCACCAGGAGCGTCTGCGCTGCGCTGCGCTGCGCTGCGCTGCGCTGCGCTGCGGCTGCGGCGTTTTTAGCGATCGCGGCCACTCTAGTCAATGGGTGCTATTCCACCAGACCCGCTGCGCCGCGCCAAAGCGTCCCAGAAGCTCCCGCCGCAAGGAATTTCTAAAATATAGGATGAATCCTATTTTTTACGCGGCGCAGCGCAGCAGGTCTGGTGGAATACTGCGAGGCTGCACACACGACGCTCCGCTTCCGCAACGTTTTGAAACGCGCCTGGTAGGTTATGACGCAGGAGGAGGTCGCGGCGCAGCCGCAGCGCAGACGCTTCCGGTGGGATCAGGGGGTTAGTGTTGCACGATAATTATCGTCCCGATAATTATCGGTCAGATATTAGGAATTATGACGTCATCCCGATAAACTCAATAAAAGTATTAATAGCCCCGATAATATACAATATATTTTTTGGGTAAAAAAAGAGAAAAAAATACTGCGGTGTGGGTGGATTGGGATGAGGGGCGCTTGTTTTTCACTCGGCTCCTCCCGTTTTGCCAGTACTGTGGTATTAGTGGTTTAGGAAGAGGGGAGTTTTTCACAAATCCAGCGCTCCCTAACTCATGCCTGGCTGTGACCATAGACTGTATATATAAATGGACGTAGTGTCCGTGACGTCACCCATAGGATTCTGCAGAGTTGCCGAGAAGCCTTTAGTAGGCGGAGTCGGCCACTAACGGCTCGACTGTGTGACGTCAGAGTCTAATCCCGCCTGCTCCAAATAAGGGCAAAGAGGCGGAGCCGAGGCGGGACCTGCTGCCTCCGAACTGGAAGTAAACAGAGCTAGATCAGGCTAAGAAGCTAAGCTAACATGACATACATGCATACCAAGTTACTAGGGTTGCCAACTTCCAGAAATGGAGAAACGGGAGATTTTCGGGTTTCTGGCGGATTTAGTTACTTTTTTTTGTTACTTTATTTCGGTTTTAGGGTTAGGGTTATGTTATTTAATTCTCTTGGGGGAGCCAGCCCCCTAGGGTTCGAGGGGTCAAACCCCCCAAAACCCTCAAAATGCATAGAAAACTATGCATACCTATAACACAATACAAACACAATGGTCTTACATCTGCATTAGGCTACTACATCACATTGTACATCAGCATGTTCAAATCGGATAGGTGGGCACTAGGACATCTGGGCACCTCGATGTACAATTGGCTATTTTGTCCAAAATGTTAAAAAATAAATATTTGAAAAATGGTATTAACTAATGCAAAGTATACATGATGTGAACATGCACGTTACATCATTATTAGACTTAATGTTATACCAACCATTCTCCAAGCATTTTCCCATCAATCAGCTGACTGACTCTCTCACACACACACACACACACACACACACACACACACACACACACACACACACACACACACACACACACACACACACACACACACACACTGTGTTTTTCTTCCACTGTTTGTTGTAAGACACAAGTATTTTCTTTTTAGAAGGGCCAGGGCCCAGAACCACATCCTCTCTCTCTTCTCCTCTTTCATTATCACCTCCTCCACCGGCAGTGCTCATTTCCCCACACAACTGAACAGGCTGACATGCCACACAAACAATGATGCTGCACCCGCGGCCCACCGGAGAAAATCTCACACACACACACGTGCGAGCATTGTGCCTGCCCTGTCAACTGAGCGATCCTAGTGCCCTTCGCATACAGCACACAAACACACAGGCATGCAGCCAGACACACTACATTGCGCGCAAACAGAAACATATTTTTTATTTTTCCCTTTACACGGGAGTCCGGGACAAACAAAGTCCTGTACGGGACATGCCCCTTTTGGCTCAAATACGGGGCGTCCCGGCTAATACGGGACGGTTGGCAACCCTACAAGTTACTGCTAACAGTGTAGTTGCCCTATATAAACGTTACATTCATAATCAAATGAGACAATCTGCAAGAGAATTAGCTATATTTTGTTATTCTTAATGCTTGTCATTCACACGTTGAGAAAAGACGGACTCCACCGCCCGTACCTAACGGAGCCGCAGTGGGCTAGCTCCGGGACGCCGGCTGGAGCAAGCCCCCTGCGGCTCCGTTAGCTCCGGCGGCCACCACTGGGATAATTGGGTCCCCAATTAACATTTGCTCCCGTTTAGCATTATGGGCGTCATAGCCATAGACTATAAAAGTCTTACCCAAGGCTGAATCATAAACTAAAATGTATATGTATGCATAAAGGGTTACGTCCTTAGCTGGCTAATAAGTAACAAGCTAACCTACCAAGCACACAAACACCTGCGAACGGGGTTAACATGTATAATATTATCATTTTAGACTTCTTGGAAGTTCTGTTAGTACATTCAAGCGCACAGCACGACATTTTAATTGTCTGGTATTTGTAACAATATTCCCGAAAAGGCACAATCACCACGAACACGGCTAAAGCTAAAGGGTCAAGTACAGTACTATGACTAACTAACGTTGTAGCCTCTATGGTTGTAGCCTAGCAGAGTGGACAAGTTGCTGTTAGCTGACAGTGAGGCATATACATGTCCATCAAAGTGACCACGCCCTAATTTATGCAAAAACTTTAAGACCTAATATAAATAAAAAGGTCGTGTTAGAAAACAATTCACTCACAGATTCATAATCATGAAGGTGGAATCCAACTATATCGATAATAATATTTATTGCATCCATGGGTAGAAACATGTTTTTTTCTGCTGTAAAGTTGGGCATTTTAATATGGGGGTCTATGGAAATTGCTCCTTTTCTGCAGTGTGTGGCACTTCCGTATTGGCGTCCCGGCTGTTCCCCTGAGTTTGCCGCTTGGCTGTGACGTAAATGGTGTGCGGACGTGAAGCCAGGACAGTAAACAAACATGTCGTCGGTAGTATGGGACTATTTCAAAGTTTCAGAGTTAGATAGTTCGCTTGCTATTTGTATTAACAAATGCAATGCAGAAGTTCCACGAGGAGGGAAAAAGGCAACGAGCTATAATACTTCCAACCTGATTAGTCACCTGAAACATCGCCATCGCTACGATGGTGTGTTAAAAAAGCGTACGAAGACGCCTACGCTGCTAAACTAGCGGCGAATCCAAAGGAATTATTTAAATATTTATATATTTATTATATAAATATAATATTTATATATTTATTATTTAAGGAAAATAAATATGGTCACTTTGAAGAGTCAAAACTGTTCTTGGCTTTGTTTTGTTCATAGTAGTAATGCTCATGTCATTTGCTCACTAGTTAGACCCTCCAGAAAAACGCGGGCAAAAATCCTTGATTATGCGATCAAACATGCGGGGTTTTATGTGATTTTATGCGGTGAAATTGCGGGAAGTTGCGAAATATGCGGAAAGTTGCGAAATATGCTAAATATGCAGAACAAATAAATATTGGGCTCTCGTATTTATTTATTCTCTCTCACACACAACCTGCCACTAACGTTAAACCCATTTACTATTCAATTAAACACATTCAATGTTTATTTATTGTAAAAGCACACACACTTCTCCGCCTCATTCTGTTTTCATTTACTCGTTCGTTATCTGACCAGCTTCAATCTTGTAGGCTTCTCACCTCGTTTCTTGTAGCCCTCGAAAGGGTTTTGGAGGTTGATGCCTCGGTGAACGTGAGTTGTTTGGCTTTTTGAATGAATCAAAGTGGGTCGTCACCGTCGATGTTCTCTTATGCTCCAACACACAGTTGCACGGGGTGCAGAATAGTTTCCCCCCACTTTCGTGCAAGACATCGGGGTACTGATGTTTGTCGGTAAATGAGATGGATTAGATTTTTTCATCTTGGTGTTTTCTCTCTCGTGTGAGTTCCACACGTTCACTCTACGGTGTTGTTTACCTTCTGTGATGCGCGAGCTGATGACATTGCGTCAGCATCATCATCACTTCACGTCAAGACGAGTTAAACATTTTTTTTCTCAACTTTGTGTGGAAAAATGCGGGGATTATGCGGCCTTTTGATAAATATGCGGCCTTTTAAAAATCTGCGCCATTTTGCTGATTATGCGGTAAATTCTGCGATCGCAGAATCGCGTTTTTCTGGAGGGTCTAACTAGTCTTTTTTTTACCACCAGGTGTGCAAAAACTACAGGTACATTTAATATATATATTATATTATTATCGGTTATCGGTATCGGTCTTGAGAAGCAGGAAGTTATTGGTATCGGTATCGGTTTCAAAAAACCAATATCGTGCATCCCTACCGATTATGACCGAGAAATTATATCATGAACGTTACGGTGCTTATTAAGCATTTTAAAACGTATGTGGTAAGTTGTCAAAGTGCTTTGTTCTGAACGTTCATCAGTATTATAATCAAAAAGAGAAATATGAACGTTAGTTTTTACTGAAATGATCAAATAAAGTCAACATTTCACAGTCTTTACTGAGCTGTGTGGGGTTTGTTCAACTTTTAAAAGATGTTTGAATGGTGATATACACAGTGATAGATGTTAAGGACTAACGTTTATAATAAATACATTTGTGTTGATTTTAAGATATTTTCATAGTTCATACAATCATACGTATTGGGATCATTTGTATTAATGTGGACCGGAGGGAGAGGGTGACGAGCATAAGTTTCACTTTCATTTCAATTCCAACTTTGGTCATGAAGAATATGTTTCTCTGTTGTCCACATTCATAAAGCATAAAGCAACAGAGCACGGTGCAGAGTCTCTAGATGAGTTTACAGTAGTCCCTCGTTCTTATTAAACATCCATGTTGTAGTCCGCTGTATAGAAAACTGTAGTTTCCATGGTTACCCCACAGCAGCAGACGCACATTCATGACGTCCGCACATCATAAACACGTCGGATAGTGAAAGTGCAGTCGGATTCTCTAAAGTACCGCAGTCTCTTCTCCTAAATCCTTTTGAATTCTCCTATCCACTATCCCTTAATCCCGTGACGTTTCACTCAGAGGTCAAGGAATAGGAGAGGGTTAGAATTTAGGAGCTGATTTTTGGATTATCGGAACGCAACCCAGCTCACACTGACAGCTCCTCGCGGCAGCGAGCTGACCAATCAGAGCACACTGGGCTCACAGGGAGGGGGGTTCCAACAAGTCGTTTAGGACAGAGAGTCAATACACATAGCCTACAATACAGAGATGGTGTATGAGAAAACCAATGTGAGTTTGGAAAATTGCACAATGTAAATCTATTCTAGTAGACCTCAACAATGGAATTATGATCAGTAGAAATGGCCATGTCACGGGACCTTTAAAGACTTTCAGAGAGCTGCAGGAGTGGGTCCTAAAATCTGAAAATGAGTCAGCATTTGAGCATTGCCTGTTCCCTTTTCTGTAAGTTAACAGTTTTTTTTATTGTGTTTTTGGTTAGTAGCCCGAAATAAGGTCAGTGGTTAACACATGCTGAATACATTTTAACTAGGGCTGTCAAGTTAACGGGTTAATACTTTTTTTTAATGCCACTAATTATTTTAACGTGCGATTAACGCATGTGTATTTGTCTTCGGCCTGTCCCGTAGTTTCAGAGCCCAAAGGCTTGACGTTGTTGTTAGTTGGATGGTGGGAGATTCTAGCGAGAGATATGGATACAAAAAAAGGTGTTTTAGACAGCAAGCCAAGCACACAGCTGATGCTGACAGCCCCGCTCCTGCCGCTCACTTGCGGCAGACCACGCTTGAAAGTTTGCCGGGGAGACACCTGGACAACAACAGCGATAGCTGATAACATAAAAATACTCCAGTAAACACCTCACTGGTGAATTTAACAACTGAATTTCCCCTTGTTGGGTAACAACGACTCATTCCTGCACTGTTATATTATTTCTGTTTTAAAGGGACACAACTATATTCGGAAGGGTTGTACTATTTAAAGGTCTTATATTATACTATTTTTAGGCATATATTATGGGTCTCGGATATATAGAAATATATAAAAAACATGTCTATGCTGTGTTTTGCTCAAAATACCAAACAGATCATGCATTTTAGACATCCCTCATATCCCTCTATCTCAGGCCTGTTAGAGAAGTGCTGATTCTGTGACTGTAGCTTTAAATTTGAACTCGGCTGATGCTGGCCCTTTGGAGCACGGCAAGGCAAGCAGTGAGGTCTCCTCTCTGCCAGCAGATTATCAGCTAAATGCTGCCATGATTAAATGCCATATTATGTTCCAAACCACTTCAGGGATTATTTCTGAAACAGTATGGAGTTCCAATGCTTTTTCTCTCACGGGTTTAACACAAGGTAGGTACCTTTTTATATCCTGCTTTTTACACATACTCTCTCCAGTACAGGTTAGCTTAGAGTGTGAGCGATGCTTGCTAATGTAAACAAAGACCATATTACTTCCAAAACACGTTGCGCATTGTTTCTGATAGCAAAGTTTCTGATAGGGCCGTGGGTGTAAAGCCAGCCCACATGCTGCCGATATGACGTCATATCGGCAGCAAATCTGGATCAGCTCCGTTGTACCCCCGTTTTTAGAGATTTGGGTATAGAGGAAAAGAGAGAGGGTTTTATTTTCTGACACTGTGAGTCTACTGACACATCGGGGACACATATGTATGTGTTTAAAAGACATAAAAAAGTGAATTTGGCATGATAGAAGACCTCTAAGGTAAATGGTGGTAAATAACGAAAATAAAAAATAAGAACCTGTACCTGCTGGAGGTGGTGGAGGAGGTGTGTCTGACGATTTTCACGTAGCGCTCAAGGCTGATTAAGCCCATGAAGACCATGCCCACATACATTGAGCAGTAGAAGAGCACGGCGGTATAGCGACAGGTGACCACATACATTTGCCAGCCCCCCAACCCCAGGTCTGCCGCGATCTTGAAAGGGAAGGTGAAGAGCATGAGGAGGTCAGCCACCACCATGTTCTTCAGGTACACCACCAGCCCTGAGTCGCTCGGCACCCGGAAGAAGATGCAGGCGGCAACGCCGTTTAGGGCCAGGCCCACCACGAAGGTGAGAATGTATAGCGACGGCAGCACCACACCACCACAGCACTGCCGCGGGAAGATGCTGCTATAATCTGATTGGTTAGTAGGGACGTGGCTGGTGTTCTGGTGATCCATCACTGAAAACACAAAAACACACTTTAATGTTCAGCAAGTCTTAATGCTTTTTTGGTTAATATTCTTTGGGGTAGTTGTACTTTACTTGGGTATTCCATTTCTTGCTACTATATATTTCTCCTCAAATACATCTCAGAAGCAAGTTTTTTTTTCTTTGAGATTCGAAATATGTTCTCCCTGTCTTAATGATATCATTTCCAGGAACAGTTATTTTATTATCTGATCCCTCTAATTATAACTGTAGTGCATGTGTGTGGGGGCGGGTAGGGGGAGGTGTTACTTGCTATATTGCGTTCCTCTGCAAATGTAACTTCCGTCTGAGTGCATTATAAAGGGAGCAGTTATTATAATAAATGTATATTTTCTTGCCTTGTTCAGTATTTAGGTTAATTTGGGCACTTGCCTTTTTTGTAATTTTACATACATTTTAATTAAATTAAAGTAACATTTTCTTTAACCTTCATATTTTATATTAGGTGCAGAAAACTAATGTTACAGCTCAAAAAAGTCTGAAGTAATTTTTTCACAATGAAAATTAGCAACTGGGCAAACAGGCAACTTTAAAATATGCTTCTTTCTGTTGGTGTTATGCAATATTTAAACTCTAACTGTTTGAAGAACTGGAGGAAGAAATGCACTTTTGAAATGTTAAATGACAACAGTCTTTGCACAGCACACTCACTGTTAATTACACTTCTCATATTTTAACAGTTATATTTAGTATTTGTTCAAGGTTCTTTATTGTCAAACTAACATAGCTACAGAGTAGTTATGTCGTTGAAAATCTTAGGTCACAGGCATCATCCTCTTAGTATATTGCCTCTGAAAGATATCTCTAGCCTAATGCAAACATTAAGATGTGGTGAAGTATAAAAAACCAACTCTACTCACCATACACACACTCTGGTTTCCACTCAGGTAGGTTTCCGATACAGATGACAGATCATTCAGATGATGATCTCTCATGAAGTGAGAGTCAGAGCGGAGAGTTCTAACTCTTCAGTCTTTGAGTACACTTCCACTTCCTCTCTCTGTTTCTGATCGTCCCTCTCTCTTTGTCACCCTTTCTCTCCCTCCCTCCTTCATGTCTATTTTTCACCTTTGGCTAACTTCTGAAACTGGATAATTTCCAGCGTTACATTTCCTTATATTTCTTCCTTTTTAACCTCTTTTAGTATCCCTTTACACTTTGCACATCTTAAACTCACACTATCTCACTGCATTTCAATGTTAATAAAACCAAAAATGCAACTATTCTGCATACTCAGTTTGGTATATTGTGGTGTGTTCCTACATATTTCTTTATATACATTATTTTTCTATTTTGTCAGTCTGTCTTATTTTGCTTCAGTATTAAAAGTGCAGTAGCTTAATCAGTCAAAAGAAACAAAAAACTGAGCAAGTAAACCCTACTGTATGTATGCAACGTTTTTATTTTCTCTCAAATGTGCTCTATCTACAACAGTTAGCTAATTGTATTGTTCATCATTTAATGATAATGTTGCTAACTTCAATATTTGTATTATATTTTTTATTATATTTAATATTTTTTCTAGTTCCCTCCTGACCCACTGCAAAAACCGCGACATAAAGACTGAATAATGACCTGCCGCCAAATCCCTCATGGCAGGATGAAATGGCTGCTGCATACACTTTAACTGTGGAATGAGCCAACCCCCTGTCCACCAGTAACTGTAAGTAGGACAGAATAGAGCCCAACGTACAAGATAGGGGCTCTAGACTCCGCTCCTCACACCATCGCTGGAATCCCAACCACTTTGGCCTGTAACAGGCTGTGGTGGATCCTGCTCTTGCTGCCTGGATAGTCTGGATAACTTTATCAGACAATCCCCCCTGTCTCAGCCTGTCCCTCTCAGGAGCCAAGCCTGGAGAGGTTGGCCCAGAGTGGGTAACGCCCCTATTGCACCTGCTTCCTGAGACATCGCCCCCCAGAACTGAGGAATCGCCCAGGGCTGGCCCACAAACATCTGTGTCATCTCTGCGAACCACGGCGATCTGGGGCCACTAGGATGACTGACAGATGCTCTCGTCTCACCCTCCCCATGAGAAAGTAGCTCGGCATCGTAGATCATCACGGTGTCGTCATCGGTGCTGTACCCCACCAGTCTCTGTGGGGCCTGGAGGGCGGCCTTTGTGATTCTTTTCATGATTAGTTTAACTACAGTGACTAGGCACGCTATCAGGATTAACACAGCTAAGATAAACATTGAAATGGTAACAGCAAGTTTAACCAACCCCGCTCCCCATGACCCAAATGTTCCAGATAAATCCCCAAATGCAAACCCATGAGTTTCGTGCAGTTCTTTAATTCCCCTAGCAGTATCATGAGCCATATCCATGACCTCAGGTGTAGCGTCGGAGATGAAAGAACAACACTCAGATCCAATCACCTTGCATGTGCCCCCCTGTGCTGCGAGCAGAAAATCCAGTGCCATGCGATTCTGTAATGCCACTGTTCTAACTTCCTGCAGTTCTTTGTGTTCAGCCAACATGGCTGTGTTGGATACATTGAGGTGGTTTTCCACTATCTTGGAGAGAGCTATAATTTCCTGCTGGGAAACATAAATGCCGTACCAGGGCAGGAGAGCGCTAGCCAGCTGCTGACCTGTTGTGATGGACCTACGATCTTTGTGTAGGGAGGGAAATATTGCTGCAATCTCATCAGTCTCTACTTTACGGATCAAAGGGATTAGATAGGCTAGATAACAGGTGCCATAAAAAGTGTCATAAGGCACACAACCGTAGGCTTTGTCCCCACAAACCATGTAAACTCTCTCTGGGAGGGGAGTTCTGGTTAACTTTACCTTTACTACAGTGTTACAGTCGCTGTGGCCCACATCGTGAGAGGGAAAAAACCCTCCTCCCCTCTGGAAGCAGATGGACACGTTCTTCCACTCATGCACCACAATTGGGGGGACATAAACTGAACAGTCACGTGTAGGGGCCTTTCCTAGGGGTATCGGCAGCGAACAGTCATGTATTTTAACTTGAACTGAGTCCACTGTTCGGGAGCCAAACCAAGGTACAACTGTTACCAAGGCTTCAACCAACAAAGAAGGTGTGTGTGGTTGAGGTGAACATGTTGGACTTGTAGAATTAGCTGAGCAATTAGTCTGGACTAGAGCTAATTGGAATCTGTATTCAAAAGCCAGATTCATGTATTTCCTCACGTATATGAGTCTTAGGACCATCAATCGTTTGAAACCGTCTGGCAGGTAATCTTTATTTACTGTGTCAACGATGAGTGAGATTAAGCCCTCGTACTGTAAATGTTTGTTCAGAGTCTATGGGGTAGGAAGGGGTGTAACAATCGTCTGCCTCATCGCTAATTCTGGATGCTATATCACTCCAGTTAACTAAACTGTAGTTAGCTTTTGTGAAAGGAATTGGGCTGAACATGGGAGAGTGCATGGACTCTGGCATGTTTTGGCACAGCCAACAGTTGCTAACATTGCATTCATGTGCATAGTCTAACATTAAACTCATTGCAGAATTGGTTTAAGTTTGCTTAGATGGTGTGATTAGGGCATCATTGGATGGATTTACATAATTTCCTGGTGACTTAATTGCAGCTCTATCTGAAATGGAGCTCTGTGGGGTGGGAGGATAACCAGGTTCAATATATGAGCATCTAGTGACCCCTGTGCCAGGGGCCTTGTAATTGGGTGACCATGTGGTGCATATAGGATCATTCTTTAACTGTCTTTTAGTGAAACACCACATTTCTGGGGGTACATTTGCAATGGTGTCGAGTGTTATTCTTACCATATGAGGCGAGACCTGGAACCGCTGGTACTCCGTCTCTGGATAGACGTTCCACGCCCACAAGCCTTTGCTTAAAAGCACAGGGAAAACAACAACACAGTCACTTGATTTACATTTCGTAGTCGGACATTCAAAGGAAATATTCTGTATTTCTGTCTTGGGAATGTTAACAGCAGGGAGAAGTCTTTCTCCATTGTTCACTTCCCTCCTTTTTCTCTCTCGCACCATACTGAATGTTTGTGTGGCGGTCGGAAACAACCTGAGTTCGTAGCTAGGCAATGATATGCCCGATGATTTGGGTCGGCCTTCAGGGTCCGGGCCCTGAGCGGTCAACCTGTCTGCGCTCTCTTTTATGAGCATCTTACTTTCTCTTACCAAGGAGCGAGAGCCCTCGCCACCTGGTGTTGGGAACGCCTCTGCTTCATCTAGCAGGGTTTCTTTGGTTAGGTAAACCAGACCCAGAACAAGGAGTATGAGGACCCCCTTCACACGCCAGTATCCTGAACCTCCCCACCGACCGGTGGAGGAGACAGACGGCATCGAGAAGCGTGGATCCACTCTGTCCTACCTTGGACTTTTAGGGCTGTTTTGGTCACTATTAACACCTGGAAAAGTATGTTTTCTGAGGGATGACAACTCAAAGTAATGGATTAGCACATTATCATTTAATTACAAAAATAGGATAGGCCCCTCGGATTGCTTTGGGAGCCTTCCTGACACATGCACATGCATTTTGAAGGTTTGTGTTAGTCATTTAACATGCAAGAATCATAAACTCATCAGTCCATAGCAGAGAAATTATATTGTAAATTAAAGGTGAGCTAGTCCCTGTGGATATAACCCCTTCTCAATTATTTTAAATGTTATATAAATTCACCATTTACCGTTTGATAAAATATTAGTTTATCAGAAATACATTTTCTCTTCCATAAAACATAGGTTTGAGAAATAAATTACCCAATTTAAAATAAATTACTCAATATAAAATAAATTACTCAATATAATTGACTCTTCCCTCCCTTTTCTTACATGTTACATATGAAATAATAACTTAGGAGTCTATTTAAGCATGGTGTAGTTTATAATCTATTACTCGAGAAGACTCAGTATCACCTGTGTGCAGCTTACAAAAAACAATTGTGAGAAACATATATTATGCAGGAAATGTATACATTTGTTGAAGAACAAAGCATATTTGATTTGGGAGCAAAAACTTCATCCCCTTAACATCTGACATATTACTGATGGCCTAGTATGAATGATAGTGGGTGTCTGAGGGTGTTATTACTGAGAAATGTCAAACAAAATCAAAACCTTAAACAGGTTTGCATTCCTCCACTTAAGGTGACGTTATCATTGGAAACAACAAAAGCTAATTGTTTTTATGTAGAATCTATAAATTGAATCGTTAGAGCAGAACAGAATGGTTGTATTGTAGCCTGAGTTTCGTGCAGCCTTTAGTTTTACTAGGTGGAAACATTGTCTATATAATGTGAATACATGTAGAACTAGACCAACCTGGTCTCACCAGAATACGTGACTCCACCACGACTCCTTAACACCGCAGTACGTGGTGGAGTCACGGACTCTGCTACATTTACGTGTCTGCACCACGGAAACAACCCCAATGTAAAGTGAATGAGGCGTGTCGTGGTGCACACACGCATTTCTACAACGTCCCGCAGTGAGCTTTTATTCTATAAAACGTTTTTAAAATCTACTTTATCGCTTGTAGTAACTCACGGGAGGCTTCTTTTATTTTATTTGTATTCATAATACATTTTATTTTTCGTCAGAATGTATTATGGTGCATTATTTACGAATTTTTGTTCTCAAAAAACAGTGCATTGTGTGTAATACAACTGTGATTTTTATTAAATGAAATGAGCTTCAGCTGTGTCAAATAGATTGTTCCCTTTAGTTAACATTATTTAAAAGATAATTATATTCCTATTTGATCATGTCCCCTTTATTGTAGGCCAATATTAGTAATTTAAAAAATATATAATGATGATAATGATGGTGAAAACCACTCCCCCAACATTGGAATGACAATGGCTACTGACTGTATTTCAAATGGATAACGGAGGATTTTACACCCGGAAGTAAATATTCTCCTTACTGTTGAAGAGAATTAAATTAACATATTATAGCAGGAAGTTTAATACAGTGTAATTTTTGGTATATTCATTTTAATGTCTCCTGATATATAAGAAGTGTGTTTTTATATATTCATGTGTGTACTTAATTACTTTGTATTTAATAGTAGCAGTTTATATTAACAAGAAGCTGGAGAGATGAGAAGTGAAAACTTCCCTGTCAGGAGAAGAGGACAGAGAGGAAATACCCTTATATAGACATATGCTATAGGCAGCACAGCAGAGAGAAGGGTGTGTGTGTTGCAGTAAGCCATGGTCTGTATAATAACTGCTCAATTATACTGGTGCTTGTGTTTTTATTGATTTCTTTCTGTTTCATTCTTTCATGTTGTGAGTACTAAATGGCCACAACTTTGTGCAGTCGTTGGCTTAAATGTGTTTGAATTACTTATGTGAAATAAGGAGCAGGTTGGCATGACAGGAGACTAAAAAGATGTGGGGAGAGGATACATTCTTATCTAAACACAGAATGCCAAGTAGCTAGAACGATACATGTCTAAAATATATGTGTGTGTTTAATTACTTTGTATCAATAATAATAGGGAGTTGGAAATATGAGGAGTAAAAACCATTATTTAAAGTAAGATGTGAGCAGGGGAATGCCCTTATTTGAAGATAGCTCAGATCTCTGAAATGAGTGTGCGTTCTCTGTATATGTTATGCAGGGTTCGTGCAGGACACCCAATGTGTCTGTGTTACCTTAAATGGTAAAAGAAGGAAAATGAGTGTGCGTGACACGACCTAAGGAAAAATGAGTGTGCGTGACACAACCTAAGGGAAAATGAGTGTGCGTTCTCTATAGAAGCTGATATTCTACTATTTTACTGCTTGAGAGCAGAGGTAATGTTTTCCTCGTTATTATTGATATTAAAGTAGTACATATATTGTTTGTATTAGTCAACTATAACAAAAGTATGTGAAACTGTGTGTACATTGAACTAAGGGGAGAGGGGGACCACAGAGAGGGAAGTCTCTGCAAAATGTGTGGGTGTGTGAAAGTACACCCAATGCGTCTGTTTGACCTTAAATGGTAAAAGACTCTTGTTTCTGTGAGTCCTCTGCTGGCTCGTCGCTTTTATATCAACCAATGAATGGACTCTATGGGAGGAGAATCCGGCACACCTCCTCCCCGTTCTTTTTGCATATAAGCAGGTTGTGTCTTTAGATCGCTCTCTCTTCTCCTGCTGGAATCTGAACAGCACGCGAACCAGGGCAGGAGTACTCCTTATTGTATTGTATTGCATTGTATTTTTACCTTTTATAATTAAAACAGATTATTGTTTAACTGGTATCCTGGTGTCTTCTGATTTCCTTCCTGTTTATGATTTTAAGCAGGCTCGCCAAAACGACACGCGGAGCCGAGGTGGGTTGTAAAAACCTCTCAGCTACAACACTGTCGATTGATTTGACAGTGATATCTGCACTACTCATCAACTCAAAAACACCAGATTATACTTGTTAATTACACAACATTGATTTGTTTAAATTGTGTACAATGCTTTTGTATTTTCCCCCTTCAATTCGGAGAAACAAATATTTTTTCGGAATTTAGGATGGCAGAAGACACTACACTAGACTGATCCTGTTGGACTCAGTACTACTGAAACTACCCCCACAAGTACTATGAAGTACTTACTGTGTACTTTTCCAGTAATCCTCTTTCAATGTCCCCTTCCGAGTAAGAATGCATGTTTTTCTTTTAATAAGCGTTAAAAAACCTTTCTTCCTGAGACTGATATTGTTGGACAGAGTATTTTAAGAGGATTGTAGACATGATATCACAGCAAGTCCTCCAACTCATCCGACCAAATGGGCTGATTGTTTAGGCCCTTATTACGACCAAATATGTTGTTTGTTCAAGCGCTTAATACGTCCTATAATTACGTTTGAAAGTTTTCGCTCTCTAGTGCTCCCGTTGAATGCAAACGTTACAGATGGTCGTTTATTCACAAATAACCCTCTCTGTAAAATCCTAAATTGCAGGATAGTCAATCAATCAATCAATCAATGTTTATTTATATAGCCCAATATCACAAATGTTACATTTGTCTCAGTGGACTTTACAGTTTGTACAAAATATCAGTATGACAATACGACACCCTCTGTCCTTAGACCCTCACATCGTACAAGGAAAAACTTCCGAAGAAAACCCACAGTTTAAAGGGAAAAATGGGAGAAACCTCAGGGAGAGCAACAGAGGAGGGATCCCTCTCCCAGGACGGACAGACGTGCAATAGATGCCGTGTGTAAATTGAAAAGATAATACATTTGCAACATAGGTAGTCCAAATGCTTGGAAATGCATGTGTGTATAATAGGAAGATGAATCCACGAGGATATCCATCCAGGACCTATGATCCAGGACCACAGCCACGACTCAAGATCCAGGACAGAGGAGCGCAGGATCATCCATGACTCCGGATCCCGGCGTATACAGACACCAAAAAGAAAGACATTTGGGGAAGCTGGGTTAATCGGAACATGAGAGTACACAGGTATAGACAGAGAGAAGGAAGAAGTAAAATGTCCCCCGACAAACTAAGCCTATATCAGCAAAACTAGGGGCTGAATCTAATCAGCCCTAACTATAAGCTTTATCAAAAAGGAAGGTCTTAAGCGCACTCTTAAAAACGGATAGGGTGTCTGCCGCCCGAACACAAACTGGAAGCTGATTCCACAAATGTGGAGCTTGATAAGAAAAGGCTCTGGCTCCCATTGTACTTTTAGAGTTTAAAGCGTAGCCACTTTTACTCCACTACATGTATTTAAAACCTTTAGTAACTTTACAGATTTGGATTAATTATGTGAAATGTATTCAAGTGTTAAATCAGACTTTAGTTCCACCTGGAGTAAACAAGCTACCCTGCAGTATACAAAGTCATTCAAACTAGCTGCACCTTTACCAGCTTTGAGAACACTTTCATGATCAATCATTATAAAACATATCATATATTATTCTGAAATGGACCAATCTGCACAATGACTACTTTTACTGTCGCTACTTTCACTATATTTTGATGAGAATACTTTTCTACTTTTACTTGAGGAACATTTTGAATGCAGGACTTTTACTGTAACAGAGTATTCCTACACTCTGGTACTTCTACTTTTACTCAAGTACTAGATCTGAGTACTTCTACTTTTACTCAAGTACAAGATCTGAGTACTTCTACTTTTACTCAAGTACAAGATCTGATTAATTCTACTTTTACTCCAGTACAAGATCTGAGTACTTCTACTTTTACTCAAGTACAATATCTGATTACTTCGACAACCTCTGATTAATGGTTGATTTCCAAATGTTCTGTTGGTGCGTGGATGATAAAATAATAGTGTTTGATTGTATTGCCTTACGTATTCAGCTATTTGCCTGTGTTTAGAAACATAATTAAACATACCATGGACACACATTCAAACAATTTTCCATTTATTGAACATTGCAGATGAACAATTAACAAGTCATACAGCTAAAGAAAACTACAACAATAATATTATGTATGATGATATCATGGAACCTGGAATTTGAACACACAGCACTTAACAATAAACATAACAATAAACGACTGAACTGCTGTCCACTTTGTGGAAAATGGTATAGGCAGAGAGCGAGTGCACGATTCCCAACTGGAAGTAGAGGTTGCTAAAGCAGCTGTTGAGGTGAGGTAGGCCTATGGCTTAATTCAGTGATGTAAAGTAATTACGTAGATTTACTCAAGTACTGTACTTATTAGCCTACTTAATAGAGTGGTGTAGTGAAGCGTCCTAAAACCCGGAAGTAAGTTCCTTCTGGTTCCCTCGACAAAAAAGCTATGCAATTTCGCCATAGGATTTTGGAAAATAGCTCGAAATAATGTCTGTGGTTGACACACATTTAAGAGACGGATCACGTTTTGTTCAGTCGGATAATCTCCACATGTCTACCCTACTTTTATAATTTTATAATCATAAATCGAATCGAAAGATTTATGATTTTAGGACGTGTCACTGCACGACTCTATAGCCTACTGTTGGGTTTCGGAATGCTGGGAGGAGTAATGGCCAGAAAGAATCCAAGACACTTCTTGTAAAATTGACAGGGTTTTAATTATAGTAAACATGACGTTCCTCTGAGGCTGCGACGGGAGAGGGGCCGTATAAACGTTTCAGCTCCGATTATAAACTCTCTGGTACTTCCAGTCTTCTCCCATTGGTTGGCGGCGTCATATTCCGTTGCCCTCTATTGACGTTGCTAAACATCCATTCATAAGCATTTAAATAGCTATATACATGATAGTTAACCATATAGTAACAGTTGATATGTTAGCATCGCTGAGTGGCAGTTGGAGACGGTGTGTTTAGTATGTAACGACACACGTTTGTATCCATCTCTTCACTAATGCTGCTTGATATGCTACATCCTACTGTGAATGCTAAAAACAATGCAACTTCCGGTTCCGGAAGCTACTACCCTCGATATTTGTCCGTGGGGGAACAATACATCAGTGGACTAAAGTTCCGGTTTCATTTGTATATTGATTATTCTCACAATACAAACAAATGTAACGAGCCCTGAATTATGGGTTTTCTTTGAGACGTAGGAGCTGAGTTGAGGCTTAACAATGATGTGACAGAAATACTCACTAATAACTTTGGACATAATTGTGTAAATAATAATGAGATAACTATTCTGGGGTTTTTTGGTTTCAATTAGAACTAAAAAACAAACGGTTAAAACGTACCGTGGTCCTATTTAGTTTTTGTTTTGTGTTTACAAATTCAGACTGGACCAACATATGGAAGAAAAATGATGACTGGTTACCTGGCCTCAAAAGGAATCCGAGCATCAGAGGGGCGTGTTGGTCGTGTCCTCAGAGAAACTAACCAGCCATATCATGCAGATCGGTATCGTGTAGGTATTATTAAAAAACATATAGATTTTCCTGTATTGTACATTGCTGTGAACATATTGTGAGAACAATAACATTGTGTTTAATTCCTCAGGAGATAAAGGAATTTAAATCCAGTGCCATACAGTGCAGAGTACATGGGTCACAAATTGCACATTGACCAAAACGAGAAACTGGTGATGTATGGGGTGACCCACGTCCTTGCCGTGGACGGATTCTCCAGCAACATTGTAAGCCACTCCACCATGCCAGTGAAAAACAACCTGACCATATATCAAGAGGTTTACCAGTAAGTTTCAGTGCCCTGTTTCTGTTATAATAATATAATAATAACCTAATAAACAGCAGACAGTAAATAATTTAGTAAACATTTAGCTAAATAAAAACACAATGGCTAAATGTAGCTTTATTTGAACAGTTTTATTTGGGAAAAATATTGTAAATCGAAAACTACTGACAGGTAACCACTGTATATTGTACGTTACTTGGTAATTGATTGATGAGATCAACATTTTAACTGCGTACACAATTCGCTTTAGCAATGCTTAGGTTGTAACAACAAACATGAAATTCTGTTACATGTCATAAGACTTTTGTATTGCTGTTTTGCAGGAGTGCTGTCCTACGATATGGAATGTGGGACCAAATCCGAGTAGACCATGGAAAATAATTCTACTTGACTCTTTTCATGCAGGAGAAATTGGCAGACTACCGGAATAACACAGGCAGACAGCCATACATGCAAACAAAGTCAACACAGGCGAGTTGTTTTTTTATCTGAATTGCAATCAACGTGTTCATACATTACATTACATGTCCCTTGTTAGACGCTTTTATCCAAAGCGACTTACATACATAATAAAAGACAAAAATGGCTATAGCCATTTTTGTCTTTTATTCCTCACTTTATCTGCTGTAATCATGTAAATTACCCTGTGGCGAGACAAATAAAAGATTTCTGATCTCATTCCATTATTCACCCAACTGCTAGCTGATAAAGCTGTCAATAGACCCATGGCGTTCACTAAACTTCTCTAGGGGACTGCTAGCTTTTTCCTATGACATAGGAGAGATACACAGTACTTTTGAACTGGATACAACATGAAATGGATCAAATACAAAGCCGGAAATTGGGAAATTAACAATGGGAAATTACAATGTGCTCTCTACATTTGACTCTTCTCATTTTTGTTTACTTTAAATTACAGAATCATATTATAGAAAGGATGTGGCCAGAGGTAAACAACAGGGTAAACTACCCTCTGAAAGGCGCACTCAACCACCTTGTTGACCAGGAGGAACTAAACCTCGAAGACAACATCACACGATATTGTGTGTCCACTCTTACCTGTCAGGTAGCCAAAATTGGACTTGACCAGATGGTGCAGTCCTGGCATGCACACAGAATCCAAGGTTTGTATAGCAGTTTTCAGAATGTTACTTAAGCCCCATAACAAATGACCTTCTTTATGTATTTTTATAAGTTGTACTTATATCCTACATTTGTTTCTCTCTGTATCCCCTTTTTTACACTAGGTTGATGGAAATGTTTAAATGTGGCATGTATATATTACAATATTTCAATAATTGTCTGAGTAAAGACATATCTACTATCTAGTTTATAGATTGCTCTTATTGCATGAAACATATATATCTGGTAAGTACATAAACAGTCAAATTAAAAACATACTTTTTAAAGTTTGTAAGAAGTGTACTAATAGCACAAGTACAATTTTTTGTAAGGGCAGGCTATGATTACACGCTGTGTGAGGTTCATTGATATGCATGATATGTAACATTACACTAACAATGGCTACTTATTTGTGTTTTTTTTTAAGGTAAGGGTATCCCAGATCAACTTGCTCATGGTGGGTGCCCAAAGAGACTGCCTGCAGATCTTTTGCCTGAAGCTACAGATGCTGCAGACGGCTATCATCAGGAAGTGGGGTCCTCTCTGACACGAGTGTCGCTGTTTGGGAGAAACCCATTTGCCACTGTGGAGCACCAGACAGCAGCTGAACAAGAATTTGCAAGGAACTATGCGGACATTGCTGAACTCTTTGAGCGTGCCATTCATAACGAGCCAGCACCATTCCAAAACGGGATAAAGGATCTCATAGGCATTGTAAGAAGATATGTGTAAAGGCAAGTGCAGGGATCAGGAGCCAGTGTATACGCAGGTTGCTGGACTGTCTGCAGCACTGGATGCTTTAAGGGTCCTACCCTAAAGTGGACAGCAGTTCAGTCGTTTATTGTTATGTTTATTGTTAAGTGCTGTGTGTTCAAATTCCAGGTTCCATGATATCATCATACAGAAAATTATTGTTGTAGTTTTCTTTAGCTGTATGACTTGTTAATTGTTCATCTGCAATGTTTAATAAATGGAAAATTGTTTGAATGTGTGTCCATGGTATGTTTAATTATGTTTCTAAACACAGGCAAATAGCTGCATACGTAAGGCAATACAATCAAACACTATTATTTTATCATCCACGCACCAACAGAACATTTGGAAATCAACCATTAATCAGAGGTTGTCGAAGTAATCAGATCTTGTACTTGAGTAAAAGTAGAAGTACTCAGATCTTGTACTTTAGTCAAAGTAGAAGTACCAGAGTGTAGGAATACTCTGTTTCAGTAAAAGTCCTGCATTCAAAATGTTCCTCAAGTGAAAGTAGAAAAGTATTCTCATCAAAATATAGTGAAAGTAGCGACAGTAAAAGTAGTCGTTGTGCAGATTGGTCCATTTCAGAATAATATATATGATATGTTTTATAATGATTGATCATGAAAGTGTTCTCAAAGCTGGTAAAGGTGCAGCTAGTTTGAATGACTTTGTATACTGCAGGGTAGCTTGTTTACTCCAGGTGGAACTAAAGTCTGATTTAACACTTGATTACATTTCACATAATTAATCCAAATCTGTAAAGTTACTAAAGGTTTTAAATACATGTAGTGGAGTAAAAGTGGCTACGCTTTAAACTCTAAAATATAGTTACAGAAAGACAGACAGACAGACAGACATCGAGATAGAAAGACATCGAGACAGACATATACATAGAAAGACAGACATACGGACAGACTGTCTTCTGTACTTGTATGTATGAATATAATAATATACGTATATTTGTAAAGGCAAAGACGTAGAACCTTTATTTTGACGAGTACAGCGCAAGCATAGGGCACACTAGCCAATCAGAAGCAAGGAGGCGCTGGAGACACACCCACTTATGGAAACGAAACATTGAGTAGTATACTTGTCTTAACAGTAAGAACAGAAAAACGAAAAAACGAGCTGAATTTCCGTTTTTTCGTTTTGGGGCAAAATTGAAAAACAAAAAAACGACCCGTTTCTGCTTTTTTTTTTCTTCAATTAGAACGAAAAAACAAACGGTTAAAACGTACCTTCGTCGATTGACCGTCCTCATCTGCGCTCTTATTTTGTAAGGTAACTTCCGGTAGCATAATATGAAAAAACTGTAGTTTTTTTGTTTCTGTTTTCTAGTGATTTTATTTTTTGTTTTGAGAAGTAGAAAATGAAAATCATCCCGTTTTTTAAGTTTAGTAAATCCCTTTTTGACCATGATAAAGAAAAACGCCTTGTATTTCAATTTTGGTTTTTCAATTTTAAAACGAAAATTAAATATCCAGTCGTTTTTTGATTTTGAATATCCATTTGGGAAAAGAAAATCCAATGACCAAAACATACACTGACCTAGATACTCACCTGTTCATAGATTGTTAACTAAAAAGGCAATTCTTGCCAAGGCTTTTAGTTTAATGGTGATTATAATGCCTTTTAACACTGAGCAAGCTTTTGTTGTTGTTCCATTATATGTGGCCTCAGATACAAAGACTAATAACCACATCTGATGTTATAGTAAATCTTAAATTAAATCTTGCTGCAAAGCTAATTGCCTGCTCCGACGGAGAAGAATGAGCCATTTTTCCTTTTGGACACCACAGCACGGGAGGCTGTGGGGATGATTTGCAATCATTGCTTTAGTTTTTTACTCCCTTAACCAATAAATCACAAATGCATTATGCAAACTGAATTAAGTGCAGTGTGTTATTGTCCTCATCTGTCATAACAAGCAGAATGAAGGTTCCAAATTGAATACTGCCGTTCTGGGAACAATTTGTACAGAGGTTGGTCGACGAGCATTCCATAAAAGAGAAGCAAAATACAGCTTTTTTAAAAGTAATTTCTACAAAGCTGGTCATTTCATTTCATAACTATGTATGTGCAGACTTTACACAGGCTTTATGTGTCACTGAGTGATATATTTTCCTCTCTAATTGATCAAACCTTTTAAGTTAATTTACTTACACAGGAAAGTGGACTGCAGTCAATTGTGATTGTGTAAATCTGCATTTAAACAATAACTCAGCCTTGCCATGACTTGAGATTACTTCCATTAACTCATGTGACAGATGCATAAGAGATATTGTAGCAGAGCTGTCACTGTGTACATTTGTGTTGAGGAAACCAGCATCCATGCAAGGAAACACAAGCGTACAGCAGTATGTGCACATTCTCCTTCTACACAGTTAGACACACACAGTCATGCATTCAGCTAAATCCTCCAGGACAACCTGTTCCGGTGAATTTGCAGCTCTATTCATTTCAGTGCAGCTGGCTGAAGGCCACCAGGGCTACAGGAAGAGAACAGAGTAGGTCTGTACAGTATGTCCGTGCAGCCATGGGCGGCGCCAGAGATTTTCTGTTTGGGGTGCTGTGGGGTAGCTTGCCGCTTCATAGAGGTTGCTCAAACATGTAGGGTTTCCCATTAAGGTAGCTATATGGGCTACAGTGAAATGTTCAACACTCCCCACACGCACATAAAGTAGGCTACACCCGCGGCTGTTACAATGAAGGCTCGATAATCAGCTCATGGCATATAGGAAGGATAAAGTGCTATTTTTTATAAGTGGGGGGCGGACCAGCCTCCTAGGGCTGAAGTTAAATTATTGAAGTTAAAAGCATCAATCTGGTACACTTTGAGAGCAAAATTAAGAGATCTATGGATACCTCTCTCAACACCCATATGAAACAGAACTGTAAACAGATTTACTTTTTCTTTAGGATATTTTACAAATCACCCTTTTAAACTTTATTCTTGTTTTGCTGTCATAGTATTTCATACCTGTTTTTCATTTATTGTCTTATTTTTGTATAACTATAATGATCATATAAACGTGTGCCTCGGAAATAATTGTGACCAAAACGTTTGAGACCCACTGAGATAACTTAGACTAAAGTTAACTATCTAAACACTCAGAGAGTCCTTTAGTTCAGTGATTCTCAAATGGGGGTGCGCGGACCGTGAGATAAAAAAAAAAAAGGTTAATTAAAAAAATAATCTAAGTAAAATAAGTTAAATAGAAAACACAATTTTATATAAAACATTCCTAAAACCACCAAGGGGGTCCTCATATAAACATGTCAAATGTGTGTATTGTATTTTATAGTTTTTTTTAATGCATAAAATGAAAATATCCTTAGTTTGTTGTAATGCATACCACGAAGGAGTTAATACATCACACACTGAGGGAACATCACTATATTGTAATTATTTATATAGGCTTTTTCGATCAAAAGTGTTCGGGATCGGTCAGGGGGTACTTGGCTGAGAAAATGTTTCAAAGGGGGTACATTACTGAAAAAAGTTTGAGAAGCACTGCTTTAGTTCACTGAGTCTCTCAGTGAGCTAAAGAGGACTCTCCTCCACCTTGTTGTTGAAAAAACTCCTTATATCCGTTAGCGTAGCTCGCTAGCACCTAGGGGTGTAACGGTTCACAAACATTTCGGTTCGTACGTACCTCGGTTTTTAGGTCACGGTTCGGTTCGGTACGTTTTCGGTACAGCAGAAACAATTATCACAAAACATAAAAAAAAAAAATATTATTAAACTGTGAATATTCACTCAAATAAATACAAAATATAATAAAATAAACATTAAGGTGCAGAATTTCGATGAACTGAAATAATCTGTATTTGAACTGTACTGTACTAGCACCTAAGCAGCCAGTTTGACATTAGGACTTGCTTGTCATTGTATTTTCATGTTTTTTAAAGAAAAATGAACTTGTCCACATTGCTTGCCGAAAGGGCAGATCTGCTGGCACTAACAATGTCTCCTGCTGTGGAGAACACCCTCTCGCTAGGGACAGAGGTACAGCCAGGTAGCGCTTTGCTAACATGGCAACATAAGGATATTTGGCGTTTGTAAAAGCTTTGGCTCGGTCTGAACTTGTTGCGAGTGGTGGAGGCTTACATGCTAGTGGGAGTTGGGTTTGCACTTCAGTCTTTTTTCTTTTGGAACCGGTGATATTCACGTTCGGGTGATGCCTTTTCAAATGAGTGTGCAAGTTTGATGTATTGCCAGCCGTGTAACCAATTTTAGTTGAACAATGCCGACAAACAGCTTTGGTTCGGTCCACCTGTCTTTGTCCGTCATCCTTGTACGTAACTGCGAAACCAAAATGTTCTCAAACCGGAGACTTCAATGATGCTGGAGGATTTTCGAGCTCAACTTTATCTGCGTTCACCATTTTGACAGTTCCTCAAATTACTGACTACATTTGAACGCATCCCTGTGACCAGCACTCATAGTATGCCTCTCGTCCAATGAAATGACTTGCTGGCTCTATGACGCGTTGAACCCAATGTGAGCAAATTACTCTGAATGCTGCGACGCAGCACCTGAGATTACTTCCAAAAAGTTGTTCACATTCTCAATTTTTTACGTTTAACGTTATATTCGTTCGGTACACTTCGGTACACACGTGTCGTATATACCGTTACACCACTACTAGCACCAGAAGCTAACAACTACGATCTCCGGTACCGGTGCGCTCTCTCTCTCTCTCTCTCGCGCACGCACACAAAATGGCTCGTTCCACACACACACAGAGCCAAGCTTTAATGAAACACAGAGACCCAGACGTAATAGTACTGTACTGTATCATATTATGTTCGAATTAATAATTTTTCAAATTATGATTTTTTTCAAATCTTTTTTGTTTTGTTTTTTAATAACCATTTTTTCCTCCTGGTCTCTCGCCCCCCCCCCCCCCCTGTCATGCCTCTGCGCCCCCCAGGGTTTGTGTGTGTGTGTGTGTGTGTGTGTGTGTGTGTGTGTGTGTGTGTGTGTGTGTGTGTGTGGTGTGTGTGTGTGTGTGTGTGTGTGTGTGTGTGTGTGTGTGTGTGTGTGTGTGTGTGTGTGTGTGTGTGTGTGTGTGTGTGTGTGTGTGTGTGTGTGTGTGTGTGTAATTCCTTTATAT